AGGTCGTTGAACCTAGCTGTGTAGGCGACTAGATCAGACCCAATCATTTTCAGATTCCAGAGCTCCTGCTCAAGCTTTTGCACTTCGCCCCTTGGGCAGTATTCTTCCAGTAGTAGAACCTTCAGATCCTCCCAAATCATGGCGTTGGCGACAGTGAGTGTCACTGAATTCACATGGCTTTTCCACCAAGTGAGGGCTCGATCTATGAAGGTGCAAACAGCGAACTTAACCTTGCTTGTTTCTTGGCATGAGCAGATCTTGAAGACTGTTTCGGTCTTTTCGAACCATTGCATTAGCGCAATGACTCCTCCAATGCCATTAAAAGTCTTTGGCTTTGATTTGGAGAACTCCTTGTAGGTACATTCCCTTACTTGGCCCTGGCGGGGTGCCACGATTGGAATGATTCGTGTTGCTTCCTGTTCCACTATTTGCATTGGAGTTTATTTGCGAGAGAGTTGTTGTTACTGCTGCTGTGATAGCAGCCTAGACCATGGCCGGATCATAAGTTAGTGGTGGAGGTAGGTGGTGAGGTTGCGTTTGTACGTGCTGATCTACGAGGAGGCATCGCGCTGTCAAAAGAAAAGAATGAGAGATTATAAGTTTCGGTGGTTGCGAGTTGGATGATATTGAGTTAACTTTTAATAGTTTAAGAATTTGGTTTGGCCAACACAGGGTTTTGAGCTTGAAAATAAAGTTTGAATAGATGTACTTATGAATTGAACGAACTACACATAATTAAAACAAGAAAGAGATATGCCCTATATATATTAAACATATAGTTGTGTTACATCTGAGTCTAGACAAAAGTTTTTGACCTTTCTAAAGGTCTCTGATTACAGAAAATTTTAAGAAAATAATACTTTTATCCGAAGTCCTAATTTATAACAAAAATTGAGAGTCGGGCAAGTACTACTTGCGGCGTGGTTTGCGCTTGGAGCTTGACTCCGTGTCGGACTGCTTCGACTCCATGAGGCGCCTATCAAACACGGCTTGTCGTTCCCTTATCTCCGCTATTGCTGCGATTGCGGCATTCATTTGTTCTTGGAAGGCATTAGTGCGGTCTAGGCCATACCCTTGCAACTTGTCCAAACGGCGGATGTTGGAAGTGTGCACTTGCACTTCCAGATTGACCTCGCGGATCCGGTTGGCTTGAACTCCGGATTGATAGCACTGGTTGGCTAGTTTTCCAACCATGACCGGAAGTGCTCGATCTACTGAACCCCCGCTTCTGACATCATAGAAATCTCGGCACATGCCGTAGGGATGGTGTAAGCTTTGTTGTTGGCTCCAATGGTGGAGGTGACTTCCCCACACAGGAGTGGGTCCTTGGAAGTTCCTCACGTGGACGGGAGGTTGTGGGATCGGTGGATTGATAACTTCTGGCTCCGAATCTGTACCAGAGTCATCTCCTTCTCCAACTCTATAGGCTCTTTGTCTTCTTCAGGATCTTCTTCGATCCATCCTCCATTACCTTGGTTGGGGTAGTAGGGGTCATTGGGCTGATGGAATCCCACCATTGAGTTTGTACGAGAATAGGGTTAAGAATTTACTATAAGCTAGAGCACATGAAACTTACCCTTAAGTTTAATGGTTGATGATAACACAAAAACTCCCTTAGTATTATGTAATGATGTCCTTTTGGTAAGTTTTAAAATTGTTGTCCACTGCAGACACTCCTTGGCATACGTTAGTCGTCTCTCGGACAAATATAGTTGATCAGGCTATATTCTTCCCAGTTCCGATTACATGTCCCAAGGCGTACCTGTATTGCACAACTTATTTATAATACTTCTAAAATTATTCGATATGAAACTATTATTAGTATGAAATGAGTGCATGCTTACCTTAAAAACTAAATAAATTTAATTTCAAAAGTATGACTCTTCTTAGAGTGTTTTTGCCCAGTTGAGTTTATAGCTGTATACCAAAAAGAAATGGTTTTGATATACTTAATTCCCTATAAACAAAGCTCTGATACCAATCTGTCACACCCCCAAACCAAAACGGCGGAAACATTCGGGGGCGGAGGACGTCATATTCAGTATCATAACAGTTCATAGAAAGGAAAGTACACATCACCATACATATATAAAGGTTTTAAAATGTTTACATAATTGTATTCATTACATGTTCAAAAGATAAATACATAAACATCTTTCAAAAGAAGTAATTAACGCCAGCGCTTTAATCCCAAAAGTTGATTTCCAAACCTGCTTAGCGGTTCCCTGAGAATACAAGTTATTTCAAAAAGAAAGTGTCAACAATTAAGTTGGTGAGTTCGTAAGTGGTTTAGAAAAATTGAATGCCATTCCAAAATGGGTGTATGTTTTCCAAGAAAATCCCTTATTTTCTTATAAAAGTATGAAATGCATGAGAGTATTTGTATTGAAAAATGTAGATAGTTGATCCAAGAAAATCCCTTATTTTCCTAATAGTTGTTTGGTTTGTATACAGGAAATTCCCATATTTTCCTAAAGTAATAGTTTGTTTAATGTCCAAGACTAAAAATTGGAAGCAAGCCACATGCTTTTAAACATAGATCTATATAATAAACCTATCAGAGGATTTCCGTTTGTTAGATAAAGAATAGTTTTAATAGCTATTCGTTCATCAATCAGAAGTACTATAATAATTGTGTATCTGATGAGTTTTATAACCATACTAAACATAATATGCCTGTAGCGACGTTCTTCAGGCGTCGTAGCGTTATGACAACTGTCACCCCAAAGGACGGACTGTAGCTAACAGTCAGGGTGCGGGATCATGACTTCTCGTATAGATCTATACACATTTGATACGTTCTCCTAACGGGAGACTCTGGTTATAGACAGGACTTGTAGTATTACTTTCTAACAAGAAGGTAGTATTTGAAGATATACACGTCTCATGGATTCTCAACTAAGTCTGTATTAAAGTAATAGTTTTGTATGCAAAGTTTATCCTTTTTCACAATGTTTGACAAAGCATAAATCATAAGTTTTTAGAATGTATAAAACGACTTAGCAAAGAAAGGTACTTTGAAATCACTATATACTTTGTATAAGTCTAATGCACGCAAAGTATGACAAGAGTTTTCCATAGTAGTAATGAATTCCAAGTGATTTATTTGATAAAAACAAGTGAAGTGAAACTTTATAAAATACACGATAATAACCGTATGTTTACTTGTATCCCCCCTAAAAGAGTATAAAAGCATTTAAAATGTATTTAAAATGTGTTTGAAGGGGGTATGAACTCACTTGATAGTTTGAAGAAGGTGTGACGAAAATCGAGCAGAACTTTGGCTTGAAAAAGCGGATCTTCTCGGTATTCTCGGGAATCCCGGGAGTATAAACGACCTTCGGAACTTGAGCTATGCGACCAGGGCTTCGGGTTTACACAGGTGCGGAAAATGAGGCAAAATGCAAGAAGAACGAGAGGAAATGAGCAAGTTTTCCCGGAACCCTCGCATCCTTTTTATAGGGGCTGTGAGGCCTCGGTACGCGGGGCGTACCCGTGCGTCATGCATGACCGAGTCCTCGACTGCCCTGGAGTTCGGATGGGACGGGGCGTAGCTCACATAGGGGGCGACGTGGACGAACCGGGGCCAAGGCCTCGAGTACGTTGGGCGTACACGTGTACACAGGGCGTACTCGCGTGACTCAGACTTCGGATAATACCGAAGTTTTCAATAAAAATATATATATTAATTATTTATCAAACTTCAAAAATTCATATCTCCTTCATACGGACCCCGTTTTCGATGTTCTTTATATCCACGCGTAGGTGAGACTAAGATCTACAACTTTCGTTTAGATTTTGTCGGCAAATTCTGAAATTATTTTTATTATTTATTTTTTTAAAAGGTCGGGGTAAGAAAATTCGTTAAAAATTCATAACTTTTTCATACGATGTCCGTTTTGGGCGTTCTTTTCATGTACGTTTGTAGTTTAACGATATCTATGACTTTCATTTAGACACCTAAGGTCAAAAAGTATTTTATTGAAACTTTACGTTTTTACGTAACTTCGTATTGCCGGTTTTTGTCGGAAAACTTAGAATGGTCATAACTTCTTCGTTATAACTCGGATTTTAGTGTTCTTTATATGCTTGGAAACCTTAAGACGATATTTACTACATAGCGTACTCCAAACAGAGCTTTTGAATACTTCATTTTTCGATGATATTCTAATCCTTTTTTGAAGAGGTTACAAGACTCGGTCTTCAATAACCTGAAATGACGGGTTGTTACATAAAATGATCTTTTACCCCAAATAGAACAATTATGAAACAAGACCCTCGAGTGTGGATTATTACCTTAATTTTTTATTAGGGTCTTATTGTGTATATGATTAGTGTGGGGAGTTCCAGTATCGAGAACTCGTGTGTAAGATTTGTCTTTTTGTAGATTGAAGTGAGTCTTCTCATTATACTATGTAGGATGCTAAGTGTCTTTGTGATTATTATATATATATATATATATATATATATATATATATATATATATATATATATATATATTGGGTTGGGCCCATTTGCATGGTTGGGTTGGGCCAATTTGTATGTCGAGCTGGTCTATTGTATGGTATGTGGTATTTTAGGAAACTTACTAAATTTTATGCTTACAATTTATGGTTTAATATTTTTCAGGTACTTCCAGTTTTAAAGGGAAAAGTCTGGCTTACCATCCCATGATGACTTTTTTTTCCTGTATTGGTTACTTTTGAGATATTCTAATATTTGAAAATATGTTTATACTATGCTTGATTTTTGGGACAATTGATTGTATGACTCGATGTTTAAAATGAAAATTTCTTTTAATTTTTTTGAAGTTAAATGTTAATTCATTTGTAGTAATAAGCCTGTACTTGTATTTTAAGCAATTGTGACTTTTGGGAAAGTGGAAAGTTCATATTTATATTATGAAAATCGATGTTTCATGAACATGCCAAAAGCTAACATAAACTAACCATGTTCCCAAAGAAAACAATTAAAATAAGTAAATCGTGTGCACAAATCAGAGAAAGTCAATGGATGTGTACGTGTGTAACAAAGTCAATAAATATATAACGACGGAATCCCCAATGGAATTGAAACATAAAGCGCCTTTAATTTCTTCGTTATTTGAATGAAATCAGAACAAAATTCTGCGCCATGGCCATCTTTTAATCATAACCAATTTGATTCTTCAGTCCTAAAAACTTCTCTTCAATTCCCAAATTTCCATCTCCCAATTAACGATCCAAGAGATTTCGCTGGTCGGGTTGCATTTTCCTGGAAAATTCACCTTTGATTTTCCCGGAAAATATTTTCTTCCGATCAGAAAATTCAATCACCTTCACCCCCTTCAATTTCTTTGATTCTCGTCGAAGTTGATAGCCCGATATCAGGTAATTATCGTTTTTAGTAAATTCGTCGTGTGATCGTTTTTTTTTTATATATATATTTATGACATTTGTTGGTTGATGCGATTTCATGTAGGGCAAGAAGAGAGGAATTTGATTGGTAGCTCGTGAAGATGAGTTCTAATCATGGAAGTTCTTCTTCCAGGAGAAGTGCGTCATTGACATCTTCATCTTCTCGGAAGAAACCATCTGAAAACGGAAATCCTGATTCTGGCCGCACATCTCTCACGAATTCTCGTTCATCCGTGTATGACATTCGATCTATGTATTCTGACTGATTCGTTTTCTCCATTTCTTAATATGCATGTCAATTACATATACCGATCAAAACCATAATGATGATGTTTGCTCGATTTAGCATAGACATCAATTGTAATCGATAACGATCAATGAAACATTGCCTCGTTATTTTGATTATGCATGCAAATGGAGGAAATACAGATAAACTTTCATCAAAAAACCTAACATCGACATTCATTCGAACAGGGGATCAACAGGAGAACATACAGTGAAGCGATTGCGCCTAACAAAGGCCCTAACAGTACCTGAAACCACAACTATCTATGAAGCTTGTTGTCGGATGGCTGCTCGAAGAGCTGATGCTCTTTTACTCACTGATTCAAGCGCGTTACTTAGCGGCATATTGACAGACAAGGTTCGTCTTGAATAGTTGAATCACTTACCCTGTTTCAGAACATTGATCGATACATCAGATTAGAATAAAGTTTCCATAATCACCCTTTTTTTTGGTGCTCGAAGGATATTGCAACAAGAGTGATTGCTCATGAGATTGATTTTATGAACACACCAGTCTCAAAGGTGATGACGAAGAACCCAATCTATGTGTTGTCAGATACTCTTGCAGTGGAAGCCCTGCAAAAGATGGTGCAAGGAAAATTTCGACACTTGCCTGTTGTAGAGAATGGCGAGGTTATTGCTTTACTTGACATAGCAAAATGCTTATATGATGCCATTGCTCGTATGGAAAAGGCAGCTGAAAAGGGAAAAGCCATAGCAGCTGCTGTTGAAGGTGTTGAAAAGCACTGGGGTACTACTTTACCTGGTAAACTAACTATTTCTTTTTACTTTTTACCAGTCTTTATACAGTAAAAAGTTACATTTTTACTCGTCATTTTTACAGGTCCTAACACGTTTGTGGAAACACTCAAAGAGCAAATGTTTAAGCCTGCATTGTCTACCATTATCTCGGACAATTCAAAGTAGGTAATACCTTTAAATATTTATTTATTTATAAGTACTACTAATCTATCTTTATAATTTCCAAAATATAATCCAAATCACGTTTATTCCTCACACAGGATTGTGACTGTTTCCCCCTTCGACACAGTGGTAATGGTAACAAAAAAGATGCTTGAGTTTCGTATTAGCTCTGCAATTGTAACAGTTGATAACAAGCCTCGAGGGATTCTAACGTGAGTGTTTCTAGATTATTTACTGTAATTCAGTAAACATTTGTTTTTTTAACAAACTGTAAATTATGTTTTGTGCGATATAAGCTCAAATGATATCTTAACGCGGGTGATAGCACAAGATCTTCCCGCTGAATCAACCTTAGTGGAGAAGGTATGGACAATGGTCAATGGACCCCTTTTCTTTTATTCATCACAATATTTTATCTACTTAGGTTTTGTTTCTTACTGTATAATTAATTGATTATGTAGGTAATGACTCCAAATCCAGAATGTGCTACAATCGATACACCAATTGTCGATGCGTTGCATACGATGCACGATGGGAAGTTTTTACATCTTCCTGTTGTTGATAGAGGTAAAACTATTTTTCATGTTTTGATTTATACATTAAATAAATACAAAAAAAGTTTGAATATGTAAAAGTGAGGAATGGTTTGATCATTGATGCAGATGGATATGTTGTTTCGATTGTTGATGTACTCCACATCACTCATGCAGCAATAGCCACAGTAAGTGAAATGATTATGCTACATCGATAAAATATATATTTTTTATCTCATATTCATTTAATTACTAGGTGGGAAATGCTACTGGAGTTAATAATAATAATAATAATAATAATAATAATAATAATGAGGGAGGAAGTTCAATGATGCAGAAGTTTTGGGACTCTGCAATGACATTAACGCCAATAGAGGATGAGGATGAAACAAAAAGGTTATTTATTTATTTATTTATTTGATAAAAATGAATTAATTTTGGTAAAGTAAATTGTGGTTGTGAACTGCAGTGAGAATTCCTTGAAACTAACTTCAGAAGCAGGAGACACTGTAAAATCTGTTGGTTATCCTTCATCGACTCTTCCCAATTCATTTGCTTTCAAAATCCAAGACAAGAGGGGTCGAATGCATAGATTCATCTGTGGTATGCATGAATTTTTTTTTTATATACTAATAAATTGTAAAAATTCGTTATTACTTGTTGTGTCAGATGCTCGAAGCTTGACAGATGTTATAACTGCAATACTTCAGAGAGTAGGGGGTGAGATCGACCGCAACAACCTCCCACAGATTCTGGTACTTTCATTTACTTTGAAAAATCAATCCAATTATAGCAATGTTATTTAAATACAAAATAAATTTCAAATTAAAGTACGATACTATAATTGGGTAGCTTTTCAAATAAGAAAAAATTGATTGTTATGGTTTTTTACGAAATTTGTATGTAGTATGAAGATGAAGACGGGGACAAAGTCGTACTTTCGACAGACCATGATCTTGTTGCGGCTGTAGAACATGCACGATTGGCTGGTTGGAAGGTATGTTTGGTCTTCTTCAAAGCTAATATTTGACTACTACCGTTTGGGTTGTATGTGAAAAAAGACGTGAATGCCCTGGTGTAGGGATTGAAGTTGCATCTAGAATATTCAAGATCATCATCAGGAGGAGGAGGAGGGGGGAGGAGGGAGGGGGTTGTTGAAGCGGATGCATGGGCTTCTGCATACAGTGCTGCTGCAGCTGGAGCTGCCTTAGTAGCGGGACTAGGCGTATTAGCGTTCTTGAGAAGATCTGGTAACTAAACAAGATGGATGACTTGGAGGGGGCAATTTCGTCATTCTATCTCTATCTCCACTTTTGTGCCATACATTAACATATATATATATATATATATATATATATATATATATATATTTAAAAGAAAAAGGAAAACAAAAGTCTCAATTCTTTTGAGCTAACTTTATATATATATATATATATATATATATATATATATATATATATATATAATATACTTGGGATTTCATGAATGCATTTATGGTGTTTGATGATTGAAATGAAAAATGCCATTTTGATTTTTTTTTACCAAGCTTCTTATGAGAAAAGAAATAAAGTGAGTCGAGTCCCGTATAATAAACAGACACTAAGAGGGTGTTTGGCTTAGTTTTTGTGGGGCAAAAGTACTTCTTGTAAAAGAACTTTTTGTAAAAGGACTTTTTACAAAAGTTTTTTTTTTAAATGTGTTTGGATTAGTTTTTGAAGGGAAAAAATAAAAAGTTAAAGTGTTTTGTTTGATTTTTACATGCAAAATGACTAAAAATGACATGTTTACATATTTATTGGGGGTAGATGGAGATATAAAAGTAATTTTAATGTTTAACACTGTTGAAAAGTTGCAAAAGTCATGATTTTGTGACTTTTCAAAAAAACCAAATTTACTCTATGGGAAAAGTCATTTTGAAAAGTCCTTCTCATCTTCCCAAACATTTTTATGACTTTTTCTAAAAGAAAAAGCGAAAAGTCATTTTAGAAGTTAAACCAAATACCCTCTAAAAGTATGATGCGATTTCTTGTATTTAGCTTTTTTTATATATAATATAAAGTTCTTTCCATGCTATTACAATGCAAGAACCTTGAGGTTGAATATATTTTATTTTATCCTTCTTAATAAATGAATGGTTTTTTTGCCACATGTCAATCTTTCATTAGTTTTGATACTTGTCATTTTGTGGTATTTTTAAAATAAATGTTATCCACTTGTAAATTTTTGATTTGTTTTAATTTTTAAAATTAAAGTCATACTTATATATGTAAAGTATTAAATATCATATATATGATATTAAATTGCAAAAATACTAAATTGTAATAAATACGTTTCTTTCTTTCTTATTTTAAAGTTGTATATTAAAAAATATTTTTTGTTTACATTTTAATTTAATGTTTAATATTTTTTTAAATCAACCCGTGTAAGTTTATATCAATTATAAGACATTTGTTGTCATTTAAAATACCAAAAAATTCTTCAACATTTTTCAATACACAATGTTTTTAGAGGTTAAAGACCACTAATCCATTCAAGCTCTTGCAAGAATGCATCATTTTCTAAACTATAATTTAAAATCATTGAATGCAATATAGTTGATCTACATGTGTTGACATATCATCTTATGATGATATCATATCTAGCTGTCTATGCATGTAATTACTATTTATAACAATTCGGCATGTAATTACTATTTATAGCAATTCATACGTAATAACATAAATAAAAATAGAAAATCAATAAACATACGTTTCTTAAAAACTTCATTTGTTACAACTTACAACCAAGTGAGGGCCCATTTGACTATCGTGTATAGTTTCATAATTTATTCATTTGAAAAAAAAATGCATATTGGGAAGACTTATCACCAACTTTTTATTTTATTTTAATATCCAACTACTAGTTATTTGTTAAACTAGGAGATAAAGTGATACAAATTGTATGACAAAAAATAATAATTAACTGAGGTTAGAATTTAACAATACTTAATTGTTTTTGTTTTGGTAATTTAAGGTTTTTATTCTGCATTTTATTTATAACTAGCTATGAGACTTATATATTATATTGGTTAATTTAAAAACAAAAAATTTAAATATAAAGGTTAAAATATTTGAAAACTTTGAATTTATAAGAAAATAAGAAAAATAATGAATTGTTATAATGTAAATGTTTTTTATCTTTAAATTTAAACAAATAATTTAAATAAAGAAAAAAATTAATGAGCTTTAATTTTGAAATTTTGAAATTAAAAGGCAAGTTTATTAATGAAATTAATATCTATTTATTGCTACATTTATTGCAATTATTACATTAAAATATTATGTAGAATTTAATAAAATAAAAAAAAAAACTCACATTTATTGCTACATTTATTGCAATTATTTCATTAAAGTATTATGTAGAATTTAATAAAATAGAAAAAACTCATAAAATGACATGTGGAAGAAAAAAATAAATTCAAAATAACCACAAAATGACATTTGGAAAATTGAATGAGAATGTGACAAGTGCAAAAAAAAACTTTCATTTATTAAAGATGACTAGTTGTGAGACTATGTATTACATGTGTTAATTTAAAAAAAAAAAAAAAAAGTTAAATATAAATGTCAAAATATTTGAAATTTTTGAATTTATAAGAAAATAAGAAAAGTAATGAATTATTATAATGAAAATATTTTTTTATCTTTTAAATTTAAACAAATAATTTAAATAAAGAAAAGAAACTAATGACATTTAATTTTAGAAATTTTAATATTAAAAGGTAAGTTTATTAATGAAATTAATATCCATTTATTACTACATTATTGCAATTATATTATGTGGAATTTAATAAAATAGAAAAACTCATAAAATAACATGTGGAAAAAAATTAATTTAAAATAACCATAAAATGACATTTGTCAAATTGAATGAGAGTGTAACAAGTGGCAAAAAAAACATTCATTTATTAGAGAGGATTTGATTTTTTAGTTGAATCGGTCTAATGATTGATTTCCGGTTCTACTTTCTGATTTTTTATAGATTTTTTATTTTCTTGAATACATATTAATATATAAAACCAAGAATTTGACATCCACAAGTGCAAACATTAAAAATACCTATAACATCCCCAAAAATCATGACAAAATTTTTTATTTTATTAAAACATTTTCAATAAGCCATCAGATAATCAAACATGGTTTTTGAATCATATCCATGAAAATCAGAGTGTCAAGATAATCTCTCAAAACATAAAATATGAGGATCATGTGTACGATCACGCATTCTCCTTGCCCCGATTATCAGAAGTACCTGGAAACATTGAAATCAACAACCATAAGCTAAAGCTTAGTGAGTTCCCTCACAATACTCCACATAACAATACATATATAATGCATGCACACTGGACCCACAACATAAGATTGGATTGCTTCTGAGCCTACATCATAAGACTGGATTACCCCTTCCCAGGCCCACAGCTCATGACTGGCTTGCTCCCAAGCCCACAACATAAGACTAGAATGCCCTTCCCGACCCTCAGCTTGACAGCTTATAACTGGATTGCTTTCGGTTTTGTTGTCTTACAGCACAAATCAGCAATGTCGCAACCCAACCATACTATGTCAACATATGCAACAGATAAACAATAACCAACAATACAAGTACTCATACATATCTACCAATCTATCAAATCACATACTACATTATAAAGTAAAGTGAGAAACTCACCTTGATGTTTAGAAGATAACATCACCAATCATAGATCCAATAACCAACACTACAGATCACCTATACAGCAAACAAGGACCACATCTTAAGCTACAACCCAAAACCTGACATTTGACCTAAAGTCAAACTTGGTCAAAAAGTCAACGGTCAAAGTCAACACTCAAGAGTCACACAACTGGTCACCACGTCATGACCGAGTGGTGACAGGATAATCACGAAGCAACCCCTTGTCACGTCATGACGACCAACTCATCACGTCGTGAAGAACGCTCTAGACAACTTAATGCCTTATGTTGTTAATCCTTCAAGCACAGCAACCAAACTTTCCAAAAGGATTTCTCCATCTTAAAATACCATAAAGATCATAGATTTTTAGACATGCATATCCAATGCATGTATTAAACACCAACTATGTCAAAATGAAAGGAAAACGAGGCCAAATCACATGTATGGAACCCAAAGCTCATTAATATTCAATATATAGGACAGAGGCATACAAAGGAGTCACAAGAACTCATAAAGTCGCCAACTTAATGAGTTTCCAACACTCAAACTTCCTCAAAAGATGAGAAAAGTGAACCAAACCTTAGATCTAACATGCTTGATATAAAAAAGGCAAGAACTTGAGGAACAACCAAGCCCACAACGTGGAAAATGAGAAATTAGCCCTATAAATAGATTTGAAGGGGCAGCCGGCCCAGGTTGCTAATTCACCCTTCTCTCATCCATATTACATCGATTTTCATGCAAAGAAGTACCCCCAAAGCCCTGGTATCATCCCGAGACCCGAATCAAGTCTTGAAGCCTCGAAGATCCCGAGAAGAAAAGAGTTTCTGAGCCAAAGCTCTGCCCGCGAGAAGTCCGGTGTGTGAAGTGATCCCGGTTTCACCGAAGAATACTATTTAAAGAGCCGTAGTGTTGTCCGATTATCTTTTGATTAACTGAGTGTGTAGTCCCTTTCATATACACAATTTTAATACAAGTATTGATGAATGTATTAGATATATGATATGAGTGAGTATGTAGTTACTTTCTTCTAACACACACATATATAAAATATTTGCTATGAAATACGTGTTATATGTTTATACATTGTTTGCTTACTTGAGATGGATGTTAAATGAATGCTTTATATACAGGTTTTAAACTGTATATGTATTTTATATCTACGAATATGTCGGGTAAAACATGGGTAGATAAGTGTTTGGTATGAAAGATGTTATAGATAATCCTGACAGATGCGCCTAACGTAGAGTGTCGTAATCCTAGTAGATGCGCTTAATAGTGAATGTCATAATCCTAACAGGTGCCCTTAATAGTAAATATCATAATTTTAGCAGATGCGCTTAATAGTAAATGTCATAATCCTAGCAGATGCGCTTAATAGTGAATGCCATAATCCTGGCAGATGCGCCTAAATGATAATATTGGAAGATGCGCCTAAATGATAATATTTACAGATGTACCTAATAGATATCATTAGCAGTCGCGCCTTAAGTAACAATGGAATTTGTATCTATTCCTTAAAGTCAATCTTTAGAAATGAATGAATGAAGGATAGGTGATTCTTAGGGTAAAATCCTTAAGAAATAAAGGAGACAATGGGGATGGGTAATTGGATTGGTTGTTTGATGATTGAATATAATAATTTTATTATTGTGGGTTGAAAACCCTATATGCTCACCAGGCTCCCAAGCCTGACCCACTCAATTTTCTTTGTATTACAGGTTATGGCATGAGAGCATAAGTTGGTTGGCATGACGAGAGATAATGGATTATAGATCGGTAGTTATAAATAACTATTGTAAGGTCTAATCTGTTCTGTTTATGCTTTTGGTCTGCATCGGAACATGACATCCCGAGATTTTGTTATATAATGAAAATACATTTCTTTAAGAAATGCTTTGATAAATTCTTATCATATTTTGTTATGGGAACAAATTCCGCAACCGTTTTCTTTAAACGATTACCCTAATTTTAAAATAAAGCATAAACAAATCGGTCTTTTTCTGGTCGTGAAATTGGGGATGTCACATAATGTAGCTCAAAATGATATGAGAGTGGCTTGCTAGCTGAGATGATGCACCAAAATGCCTTATCTTATTCATCAAGGCCTCAAATCACCAAAAAGGAGCTCAAATGTCAAAAATGGAGGATTAGGGTTTCCTGAGGGTGAAGGAATGTGATATAGGTAGAGGGTGTGCAAACCCTAACCCTCTCTTCCCTTAAATAGGGGGATAATCCCCAAAATTAGGGTTTTTGTACGTTAGGGCCATCATGTTGTGACCAAAAAATGGTCACGTTGTGACAACCAAATGAGATGCACGTTATTACGGGGTACCGTCACATCGTGACACACCAGTGCTCACGTTGTAGACCAATCTAAATACATTAACAAAACATATAACCAAAATTTTTACATCCATCCAAATGCATAAAAAGCATAAAAGTCTAATACCAAAACAAATTATAGTTTTAGATGAAAAGTAACACATCAAGATCAAATCAAATTACAGATTTTGAGACTTTGAAGCTTTAAATGCATGTTTCACGGTCACTTAGTAAATGCAATTCACTATCAACTTTATCCTCATTACAATATCTAAAAAAACAACATTAATGTTACGTAATATAGTAATAATAAACTAAAATTACAACAGTACATTAATATTTATAGAGAAAATGTAACCTTGTATTTGAGAAGCCAATTCATGTTGTTGCTCGTCAAACATATTTTTCAAATCATTGTATTTAAATTCTCCTTCCATCTTTTCTTCAACCACCCAAAAGTGTCAAACATATTTTTCAAATCATTGTATTTAAATTCTCCTTCCATCTTTTCTTCAACCACCCAAAAGTCCATATTATCGGTACATTCATAGTCATTAGGATTGTAAGATCTTTTTATCAACCTTGAGTCTATGAAACCATTCACAAAAAATATAAAAATAAAATAACATTGATAATAGATAAATATCTTATTACAATATAATGCACCTATTTTATAAATTCAAGTTGCAGTGCACAAATGCAATATCATTTAGCCTTTTATGTTCCAACTTATTCCTCTTTTTTGTGTGAATCATTTCAAAAACACTCCAATTACGTTCGCAACTAGAGGAAGATGTAGTCTAACTTAATATTCTAGTGTTAAATTCTTGGTTTTATATATTAATATGTATGTAGAAAAAAAATACACACAGTTTCAAAAAACTGGGTTGAATCGTTAACCAGTCACCAAACTAATTCAACTAAAAAAATTGGCTTTAAAAACATTTGTCTAAGTCCTATCATCACCGGTTTGAATTGTTTTGGTTGGTTCACTACAACTGGTTCAACTAAAATTTCAGAAAAAATTGTCAATTCTCTCCGACATCAAATTTAGCATAAAATCGATACTTAGTAATCTGATCGCTATTCTGGTTCCCAATTTCACCAGTTCAAACTGTCGATAATAGTAATTATAGATTTGTGGGTTCATTTTATTTGATATAAAGAGAAATAAATATGGATCTCACAAAACAGGGAATGAATAATGGACTTTTTTGTGGTTAAAAGTTAGTATTAAATGGATTCACTGTATAAAAATAATATTTTATTTTATTACTAATTATAAGTAATTTGTTATTATTTACAGAGGAAGATCAAAAACTATTTGTCAAGTGCAATCATTCGATCTCTTATAATAACCGTCAGAAAATAGGGTAGGAAAACAAATATTGGTAATCTAATATGTATATTTCAAGGTCCTTATATGGTTACTTTTCATGTTGATATTTCTTTCCTATAATGGTTGTGTTACATCAAAATTCCACGAGGAACACTCATAGTTTTAAGCACAAATCAGTATGTTCAGTTATGGAAAATGTACGGATTGTTATATTTTTATGAGAGAGTTATGAATATGGGAAAATGAATACATATACACATTTATTCGATAGTTGGATAAGATTGATGAAATATCGGATTCTACAATTAAAAACCGTGTCTAGAAAACTAGTCCTCAAATTGTCTTTTTGGAGTGGTAGGTTAGGGTGGATTTGTCACAAGCAACTTGGACTGCTAGCTTAAGTTTGAGCATACTTAGATTCCGTCTTTTTCTTCAACTTCGTTCGTTCAGATGATATTTCACAATTACATTCTAAGTCCAAAATTTTATAGAGGTTGCGAGTCATCGCCCTTTCACATCCACCTTTCATCGTGCTAAGTATCAAACTCATCTTATTTTCATATATCCAAGACTAAAGATCGATGATGTCTTTTTACAATAATTATAATGGATAAAATAATAATGCAAATGGAATGGATTCAAAATGATGTTACTGCATGGAGTTGGTTAATGATACTCGAACATGTACTTGTTTTGGGTGCCTATTTATTAACTGTGAGTCTATATGGATTGATTACAAGTTGAAATATGGTTAGGGCTCTTATGTGTCTTCAACTTATATTAAATATAGTTAAGCTCAATTTCGTAACATTTTCAGATTTTTTCTGCAGCTGCTGAAGCTGTTATCGGACTCGCTATTGTTTCATCAATTTATCGTAACAGAAAATCAACTCGTATAAATCAATAGAATTTGTTGAATATATAAACCATAACTTAAACATCATTGCATGACCTAAATCCATATATCATCATCATTTTTACGATAATAGTTATATCAGTTTATACGTGTAACCCTAATAATTTATACGTGTAACCCTAATAATTCACGCATAACAAACTGTATCTACATAAATGTAGCTATGCAACAATATTAACAAAAGCTAACAACATAATTAAATAAGTTATATGGATTATTCATTGTCATTCATTTTTTTGTTAGGAAATTTGTTATGGGGTCCGATAATTTTAACATATTTTTATTAATTAGTAATGGTTAATTGGTTAACCGGATAATATAACCGAAAATTTTGGTTAACAGAATACTTGTTAATATGATTTTTCGGTTTAGGTTTAGGTTGAAGAAATAAACGAACCGATAGTCTCGGTTAATCTTTCGAAATATGTTTTCGGATCAATTAACCATCCATGAAGACCCTATACCCCCATGAAATCTCATGTTAATATTTACAAGCTAATATAGTCATTTGGACCAGAGATCTTCCACCTGCTATTTCCATATGACTATAGAAATCATTTATTAAATTTTTAGGTAATTTTATGATTATATGAATCATTTATTAATTTTTAGGTATTTATTGAAAAGCATTAAAGAATTAGCTATATTTGTCTTTCTCGGGAAAAAAAAAAAAAAACAAAAAGTCCTAAATTTTTTTTGAAACAATACGGGATAATCTCACATATAAAATGGAGATGATGGCAACAAAATTTCAAAAGCTATGAAAACACACACCTGCTGGTTTTTCTTTCATCAATAGCTCTACGATAAAAACCACAAAGATTTATATTTTTTTGGTCGTTAACATGAATTTGTTTAGGGATTTGTGAAGAATTTAGGAAACTAGATTGTTCGTTTATGAAAATCATTGATCAGGAACAGTGAACAAACGCGATATAAAATCGGATTTTGGAGGAGATTTCCAGTGGCGCCTCCTCCGTTAGATTGGTTGAGTATTTTAGGTATTTTCTTCTTCATCTGTGCTCATTACTTGTTTTTATGAATATGATGAAGATAACTTTCTATACCCATATAGGCTGTTCGATTTTTGCTTGATTTGGAATGCTTATGGTTTATTGTTCTTTGAATATTTGCCCTTTTTGTTTGTGCATTTTAGGGTTTAAGAAAAAAAAATCTAGTGATGATTTTGATTCCGTTTTCGGTATGTTATATTATGTTTATCGGATCTGATGCGGCGGTTTGTTCAGTTTTTGCTAATTCAAGTTCATACGAGTTATTACATTTTTAGATAATCCATTTCACGATTCTAAAGAACGAAACCATTCAATGTTGAATGTATCGAGATTATTCTACTGATGTACGACAATCAATGAAGCTAATGTTACAACCCACAAGTTTAAATTCATCTTTACCCCAATCTGATTGCGATTTTGGGGAAGTTTATGTGATTCCTTAGTTTTGCTATAATCTAGCTGCATAAAATCTTCCCAATGATCAATTTAGTAGGCTTTTAGATACCACATTAATGTTTCGAGTCTTTATGAGGATATTTTGTTTGAATCGCTTAATTCATGGTTCTAATTCCTGACGTTTTACAATGTTAAGTTCTTGTCATCTGTTTCATTATACCATCAAATGAATCGACTACTTGTTTTGCAACTGTATTATGTTGATTTGTTTTCTTCTGTGTTCGATTCATCAACTTAGGGTACCTGTGACGCTTACACACAATCGTTCAGATATTCCACATGTTCTTTCATATCCCCTTTTGGTAGTTTCAACTTTCAATGGTCAATGTTCGTTTTTAGGGTTTCAAAATTGAGCCTATAAATAGGATGTTGGTTTGTACTTTGTATATATAACTTGATGCGTAATCATACTTCATGTCCTTATTTATTTATTTGTATATTTTTTTTGTATTAGGGCTTGCTCAATCAGAGGAAGACCCTCTACTCTGAATGCTGATATGGAATGCAATAAAGATGAAGCGCTTCGTGCTAAAGAGATATCTGAAGCAAAATTAATAGAAAAAGATTTTGTGGGTGCGAAAAAAATAGCACAAAAAGCTGATAAACTATTCCCAGGGCTTGAAGGTCTTTCACACCTCTTTCAGATTCTTGATGTTTACATTTCTTCAGAGAAGAAGATCAATGGAGTATCAGATTGGTATAGTGTTCTTGGTGTGGACCCCACAGCTGATGATGAAGCTATTAGAAGAAGTTACAGAAAACTAGCTCTCTCTCTTCACCCTGACAAAAACAAATCCATTGGAGCTGAAGGTGCTTTTAAGCTTGTATCTGAAGCATGGACAATATTAGCTGATAAAGGTAAAAAGAAAGCATATGACCAAAAACGAAACCCTAAACCAATTTACCAAAAAGTTTCCACCTCTACCCCTCCACCCACCACATTTTGGACTTCATGTACAAAATGCAAAATGCACTTTGAATACTTGAAAGTTTACCTCAACCAAAAGATCCTTTGCACCAATTGTCATGAGCCCTTTTGGGCTTTAGCAATATCACCCCCACCTGTAAATCTTCATCAAATGTGGCATCCTCCTCAAAACAAGAATCTCAATGCAAATCATCAATTTAAAAGACAACATGAAGTGGGATATCAGAGTCCAAATTCAGTTAAAGTTGATGGAATTGCAAAAAAGAGACGTGTAGTCGAACAGTCAACCGTGGAACGTGAAAAAGTCAACCTTTCTACACTCAACAAACTTAAGAATAGTGTGAGAGAATTGTCATCTGCAGAACTTCGTTCCATTTTGGTCTCAAAAGCCAGGAATGTAATCAACAAGAAATTGGACGAGTGGAGTGCAGAAGATGAAAAAGAAAAAGAAAAAGAAAAAGAAAAAGAAAAAGAAGTTATCAAGAAACAAGAAATCATTCCGAATGGTATGAGTAAGGTCAAAGATGTAAAAACACCATCAAAAGATAGCCTCGATGATGATGTTGATGATGATGATGATGATGATGATGACGACATGGACACCGATACAAAGGAGGAAACGGAAGCGATCTTAATGAGTGTCCCGGATCCCGATTTTCATGATTTCGATATGGACAGAAGCGAAAGGGCGTTTTCGGAAAACCAAGTTTGGGCAGCTTATGATGAAGATGATGGAATGCCTCGATACTATGCAATGATTCATAGTGTGATATCAAGGAAACCATTTAAGATGGAAATAAGTTGGTTGAATTCCAAATCCAATGCTGAATTAGGTCCAATTAATTGGGTCACATCAGGCTTTCCAAAAACAAGTGGCGATTTCCGAATCGGGAAACGTGAAATCAACACCTCACTAAATTCCTTCTCACACAAGGTTCATTGGGAAAAGGGCAAAAAGGGTATTATCCAAATCTACCCACGAAAACACGAAGTGTGGGCTGTTTATAAAAACTGGCATCCCGATTGGAACGAGTTCACTCCAGATGAAGCGATACATAAATACGACATGGTGGTAGTTCTTGAAGATTATGAAGAAGGGAAGGGTATAATGGTAAATCCACTGGTGAAAGTTGGTGGTTTCAAGTCTGTGTTCTATCAACAACATTCTGATGTTAAGGAAACGCGAATGATTCCTAAAGAGGAAATCTTTCGATTGTCTCATAAAGTACCTTATTATCTGCTAACAGGTGAAGAAGGTTCGAATGTTCCGAAAGGTTGCTTGGAGCTTGATCCTGCAGCGTTGCCATTGGAGCTGCTGAAGTCAACAGTTGAAGAGAAAGTCAATCCAGTGGAGGAGGTTAAAGGGATTCTAACATATGCTAGAAAAAGGGGGAAAAATGCAAAAATTGATACAGTTGAAGGGGTGGTTTTAGAAAATGATGGTAGATAGATGATAGATAAAAACTAAGAAGAGATGAGATGTTAGTTGACCTGAAGCAGTCGTTGATTTTGGACTCGAATGATACTTTGTTAGAAGCTAATTTTGTAGCAGGTCGACCTTTTTTTTTTTTTTTTTTTTTAACTTTTTTGCTTTTGCTGTAAAAACGTTTTAGTCTATGTTTTTTTTTTCTTTTTTTTTGGGGGTTAACTTGGAGACTTGTTATATATATACATGAAATCAATAGTTTCGTGGAGATGAACCATGTTTTGTTCTAATGAACGACTTAATTATTATCAAGCTTAAGAAACAAAGGTTTATCTTTAAATGTTGTATTTGGATAAGATACATGATGATGATTTCAGTTACAAATCTTTAGGTAAAGTATTTAACAAAATTATTTTCATATGGAAGGAAGAAAGAAGAAAAATACAAACTAATAAAAATAATACAAAATTTATATATTTAAATAAAAAATAATTATTTTGGATGGAAGCAAGGATATGTACATGTTAAAGAGTGGAAGTGGAAATAGATAATGGAATGAGATATGGTGGCAGGAAAGCCATTCATATTGGATATTTGGAAATTGATTATAACTTTACACTTTAACATATTTATCAACAAGGCCAATGTCATTTTCACTTGTCATGAGTGCTGGGCCCAAAACTTGTTTACTAGGCAAAACTGACTTTTATAGAATTAATTAATTAATTATTAATGTTTCAAATATATCTTAATATAGTAAAATAACTGAAAACTTGTAAATTATAATATTATTAGGGGGGTTGAACCAGTGGAACGAGGTTATTGATTTGTTAAAATTGTTCTTTTTCTTTTTTCACAACAACGACATAAACGGTGGTGGTAGTTAGAAGCTACGGGTAATTGCACTTTTTTTTGGGCAAGTCAATTAATTTGACAAAATGGATTTTAGTTGTGGGAGATTCTCCAATTTAACGAACAATTTGGTTATAACAGAGATGTGGGGTAAACAGTACAAAAGTTATCAAATTTATATAAAAATTTTAATTTAATATTGTGTTTTTTTTACTTAAATTTGACACTGTGTTTTTTAATTTTTTACAATTCGGACTACTTGACTGGTCAACCCGGTTACCTGCTAAATGACATGATGATGTGTTGGGTTTGATTACGTGAAATGTTGATGTTTCAAAATTGAATTTTCTCCCACAAAAGACACTAAGGTTTTTTTTTTGACGCTAAATTTAATTTTTCCTTTCAATTTTGATATTCTGTTTTTTATTCCAAACTGAACATTATTTTTTCAATTTCGTTTAATGTTGATAATTTTTCATTTAAACTGTATAAATATATTTTAATACATTTTAAACCACATAAATATATATTTTTTTTCATTTAAAAACCATACTTTAGTATAAATACAATGTTTTTTTTTAATATTCAAACCATAATTTTATGTATAGATATGTATTGTTATATAAAAACCGTATTTTATATTAAATATGTAATATTAAAATGAGTTTGGAGGTTTAGAGACATATATTTGATCAAGGCGCAGATGTCAAGTTTGCAACCAGTGAAATTTTTACATCTTATTCGAAGTTTATGGTTAGTTTGGTTTTAATGATGTAACTAATGCGTATTTATATATTATGATTTGAATGTTAAAAATAAACTTGTATTTAAATAAAAATGTGGTTTTTAAACGAAAAAAATGTATTTATACGGTTTAAAATGTAATAGAAAAATATATTTATATGGTTTCAAATGGAAAATGGTCAAAATTGAACAAAAATTGAAAAATGATGTTTGATTTGGAACAAAAAAATAGGGTGTCAAAATTGAAATAAAAAATTAAATTTATTGTCAACATCGAAAAAAGTAAAAATTTAGTGTATTTTGTGGGAAAAAAAAATCAATTTTGATACGTCAGCATGTCACGTTATTAAAACTGACACGTCATCATGTCACATCAGGAGGTAACCAAGTTGACCGGTTAAGTAGTCAGAATTATAAAAAAAAATTAGAAAACATAGTGTTAAATTTAAAAAAAAAATATATATAATTAGAATTTTTATGTAAACTTAATGTTTTTTTGTAGTATTTACCCAATAAATATATTGGCTTGGAGAAAAAAGGTTGAAAAAACTTTCAACTAAGGCCAATCTAATTATCCAAACAAACGTCAAATTAAGAAGAATTATCGTTTGTGTGTAATTTTTAGAGTTTCTAGATTGTTCGTCTCAAGCCTTTATACAAAAAAATTTCTTGATGTAGTTTCATGGACGATATGAAAATTTTGTAATAGTGGTTTTTGGAGCGGTTGTAACAACCCGTTATTTCAAGTCAGTAAAGATCGAGTCATGTAACCTCCTTGAGAAAGGAAATAGAATATGAAGTATTCAAAAACTCTATTTGGAGTACACTATGTGGTAGTTATCGTCCTAAGGTTTCCAAACATATAAATAACACAAAAATCCGAGTTATAACGAAGAAGTTATGCTCATTATAAGTTTTCCGACAAAAAAAACAGCAATACAAAGTTGCGTAAAAACGCAAAGTCTCAATAAAACACTTTCTGACCTTAGGTGTCTAAATGAAAGTCATAGATATCGTTAAACTACAAACATGCATAAAAAGAACGCTCAAATCGGACATCATATGAATAAGTTATGAATTTTTAAAGAAATTCCTTAAACACGTCACTTTAATAAATAAATAATAAAAATAATTTCGGAATTTGCCAACGGAATCTAAATGAAAGTTGTAGATCGTAGTCTCACCTTCACGGGGATATAAAGAACGCCAAAAACGGAGTTCGTATGAGGGAGATATGAATTTTTGAAGTTTGATAATTAATTTATATATAATTTTTATTCAAAATTCGGTATTATCCGAAGAGGAGTCAGCCTAGGGCTATAGTACGCGCCGCGTACCCTAGTACGCCCCGCGTACTGAGAGGCCACGGCCTCGGATCGTCCACGTCGCCCCTATGCGAGCTATCCCTCTCCCGTCCCATCCGAGACGCTGCAGCCGAGGAAGCGGTCAGCAATGACGTCCCGTACGCGCCGCGTACGGGAGTACGCCCCGCGTACGCAAGCTGATCCGCCCCCTATAAAAGGGATGCGAGGGCTCCCGAGAAAAGGGCTCATTCTCTCTCATTTCTCTTGCGTTTTTCCTCGTTTTCCGTGCTCGTACTACCCCGAAGCCCTGGTCGCTTCGTGCAAGATCCGAAGGTCGATTTTCTCCCGAGGAATCCCGAGATTTCCGAGGAAAATCCATTTCCCGAGACGAAACTCTGCCGTTTTTCCATCTCGCTATCTTCAAGTTGTCAAGTGAGTTCATACCCCTTTCTAACACACTTTAAATACATTTTTAAATACTTTTACACTCTTTTAGGGGGGAATACAAGTAAACATACGGTTATTATCGTGTATTTTATAAAGTTTCACTTCACTTATATTATCAAATAAACCACTTGGAACTCATTACTATTATGGAAAACTCTTGTCATACTTTGTGTGCATTAGACTTATACGAAGCATATAATGATCTTTCATTGTTAAATCGTTTTATACATTCTAAAAACTTATGATTTTGCTTTATCAAACATTGTGAAAAAGGATAAACTTTGCATACAAAACTATCACTTTAATATAGACTTAATTGAGAATCCATGAGACGCGTACATCTTCAAACGTTACTTTTCTTTATTAGAAAGTACTGCAGTAAGTCCTGTCTATAACCAGAATCTCCCGCGACGAGAACGTGTCAAATGTGTATAGATCTATACGGGAAGTCATGATCCCGCACCCTGACTGTTAGCTACAGTCCGTCTTTTGGGGTGACAGTTGTCATAGCACTGCGACGCCTGAAGAACGTCGTTACAGGCATATTATGTTTAGTATGGTTATAAAACTCATCGGATATACAATTATTATGATATTCAGTTTTGATGAACGAGTAGCTATTAAAACTATTCTTCATCCAACCGGTTCGATCTTCGCGTAGTTTTATTATATATAAAACTATGACACAACTTACGAGAAACGTCGGTTTCTTGCAATTTTCGGTCTTAGAGACTGCCATTTTGTGTGAGGAAAATAAGGGTTTTTCCTGCATACAAACCAAACAACTAATAGGAAAATAAGGGATTTTCCCGGTGAATCATTTACAACGATACAACTAACTTACAACTATAACATTATATATTCTATATGCATTTTATAAAAATTTAAGAAAAGGTTTTCTTGGAAAACACAACTCGTATCTCAACCATTAGGGAAAATATGGGATTTTCTGGATCTAATGCTTTCATTTTCAATACAACAAATCACAACTCTTTACATTTTGAAAAGCTACGTTTACTGGAAAACATACACCCATTTTGGAATGGCATCCAATTTTTCTAAATTACTTATGGACTCACCAACTTAATTGTTGACACTTTTTCTTTGAAATAACTTGTATTCTCAGGAAATCGCTAAGCAGGTTGGGAATCAACTTTTGGGATTAACGCGCTGGTGTTAATTACTTCTTTTGAATGATGTTTATGTATTTATCTTTTGAACATGTAATGAATACAAGTATGTAAACATCTTGCAAAATTACTATATATGGTGGTGTGTACTTTCCTTTCTATGAACTGTTATGATATTGAACATGATGTCCTCCGCCCCCGAACGTTTCCGCCGTTCTGGTTTGGGGGTGTGACAGATTGGTATCAGAGCATTGTTTATAGGGAATTAAGTATATCAAAACCATTTCTTTTTGGTATACAACTATAAACTCAACTGGGTAAAAACACTCTGAGTAAGAGTCATACTTTTAAAAATTTAATTTTTATTTAGTTTTTGTAAAGTAGGCATGCATTCATTTCATATCAACAACATGGTCATTATCATAATTAAAACAACATTGAAGTATTATATATCGGTTGTGCAGTGCAGGTATGCCTTGGGACATGTAATCGGAACTGGGAAGGATATAGCCTGATCAACTATATTTGTCCAAGAGCCGACTAAACA